ATGAATAGATAAAGAAAATGTGGTATATATACACATGGAATATTACTCGGCCATAAATAAAAATGAAATCATGGCATTTGCTGGTAAGTGGACAGATGGGAGAATATCATGCTAAATGAAATAAGCCAGTTCCAAAAAAACCCCAAAGACTGAACATTCTCTCTGATACCTGGATGCTAACTGACAACAAGGGAGGGTGGGGAGAGGAAGAACAGAAGTCCACTGGATTAGACAAAGGGAAGGGAAGAAGAGGGAATGGAGAGGACAGTAGAATTCATCAGACATAACTTTCCTAGCCTTGTATTTGAATACACAACCAGGGTAACTCCACCTCGTGTACAACCAAAAGAATAGGATCCTAATTAGAATAAGCTATACTCCATGCAGGTGCAACATGCCAACATACATTCTACTGTCATGTATATCTAAAAAGAACAAATACAATAAAATAAATTTTTAAAGTATTCTTCAAAAGAACTTGTTTTTAATTCAGTTTTTACTTTAACTTAAAGTACTAAGTTCAGATGAGTCATCATAACAAAAATAACTAATGTCTATTTAATTTTGTCACTTTCAACAATGACCATATTCCACGTTTTGTTGCAAAGGTCTTCACAATACAGATTGTTTTACAAACTACAAATGTCACAGTTTCCTGTGATGAACCACCCATGAACTTACGTGTCTGGCTTTGATTTCTTTCGCTTTCCCCATTTTATAATTCCAACAGGCACCATACTATCAGACCTCAACAACAAGGTAAGAGCAGTAAAAAACGCCAACCCCAAACTCAAGACCTCAAGGAAGAGCTCAGACTGCACCACTGAAACCAGTTGGGGACACACACACACACACCTTCTATAGCCTACTTTTCCTYGGTGTTATTTTACATAAAATTCTTCTTTGCAAGTTGGTAAGGGTCTATGTACACATTTATGATCACAGATGACAAGAAAAATGAAACAAAACACTTGTTTATCCATATCCCTGTCAGTAAAGACTACCTCTATGTCTATAAATTAAAAACTCAAAAGAGTCAAATCCCAGCAACTTTAAGGATTAAACATCTGTGTAGCTATGCACTAGATGAAGTCAACCAATGTGCTTCTGCTAACCATCCCCAGGTTTGAATTCCGGGAGCCTGGAGGCAGAACATTCTCCACAAAGGCATAGAAAATTCATTTCCCCTCTCAACTCAATAAAAACCCAAGTAGACTAGTTTTTAGGGAACCGTGCAAGACTAATCTGTTTAGGCATGTATTTGCCTGATGAGAGAGAAAAACAGCAAGTAAAAGACCACAAATCTAGTTCCAGTTAATACAGACTAAAACAATATACTATTATCACGTCATGCTTCAACGACCCAGTCATGAGTTTATTTCAAAAATAAAATTATCACCATATAAATCAAAATTCACCAAGTTAATACTAAAATCAAACACTCGGTGGCCAGTTCTTCCTGACCCTCAGAGACAAAAAATAAACAGAGATCAAATCCATGCTAAATTTCACAAAAGCACTGCAGTTGTTTTTTTTTTTTTCCCCCAACAGAATACTTATTTAAAATTCCTATCACAGGAATGGAATGCCAGCCAGGAATCAAACTGTGACCCCTGAGCCAAAGAAAACTTACCACTCAGCTGGTAAGTGGGCAACTCAATTTACAAACTTGAATTCCTGCATTTTAATCCTTTGCAAAAATATATGAGCAATATTAAATGAGCTGGATTCAGCTCATTAGAGGTTCACAAACCAAACACAGAAAGCTTTGGAAGGCATCCAAAGCAAAGTCATGCCTAGGTGGTGATGTCCACTCGATAAATATTCAATGTCATAATTATCGTCCAACTCTTTCCCTCAAGAACATTAGTAGCCATAACTACAATAATGYTCATCCAATTACATTAATCCTTGGAGAAGAAGGATAGGACCAGCAGCCAATCAGTGATAGGACCTTGTCTGTGGACACATTCATAACTTCCAAAATTTACAAACAGCAACTCCATTGAAAATTCCTCAAAGAACACAGGCTAAAACTAACAAAATTAAATGCAAGTGAGTTCTCTAATAACCTTTGCTCAACCTTGTTCAATAATTCCTTCCCATTTCAAATCTACTAAGGTCACATGGATTTGGACTTGGTATTATAAAAGCTGTATGTCTTCTTTAAAATATTGCACACATTCAAAAATGTATACCCAGTTTAGTCTTTTAAATTTCAAAAAAAAAAAAAATACTGTGTTTCAGAACTATTATAACTACATGAAAGGGTGAAAAAGCAGCACAGATTATTTAGATCCTAGATTATGATCAATTCAATCTGAAAGCTGGGCATTACTGCACCAGGATAGTTTCTTATCAGATCCACTATTTTCCTTTCACTATCAGAAAGATCTGAGCATTTCTTTCTGGTCAGCAGCAGTAAAATACCTGATATAAAATCTTAATTAAAATTAAGATTTGTTATAAAGGTATTCATAATATGGATCTTTCTACAAACTAAAAAATTCATGCTTTCCCATTATAAACCACTTTTGGACTTAGCTCTCTCATTGTGCTTTTTATTTACTTATTTATTTTCACTTTACCACTTAGCTGAATCCTCCGCCCTTTTTTTCTTTTTTTTTTTTAAGGGGGGGATGGTGGTTGTGGCTCAGTGGTAGAGTGCTTGCCTCGAATGTGTGAGGCACTGGTTTGATTCCCAGCACCACATATAAATAAAAAATAAAGGTCCATCAACAATAAAATGAATAAAAATTTTTTTTTAAAAAAAAGACAGGGTCTCACTAAGTTGCTAAGGCTGGCCTCAAACTTGGAATCCTCCTGCCTCAACCTCCCAAGTTGCTAGACTACAGGGGTGCACCACCACAACTGGCTCATTTTGCTTTCCTTCTCTTTCCCATTTTATAATTCCAGATCCACTATTTGCTGAAATACTAGGATAATCGTCATCAATTTGCCCCTTCAAATAAATCTAAAAGTTGTTTGATTATTAAAATATAAAAGTCAGAATTGTTAAATGAAACCAAGAAGCTAAGACAAATGAGATTGCTCTATGTATCTGTGTAGGTCCTCTTTGTTTGGAAATAATAAAAAGAAATTTCCTAATAATCATGCTTCACACACTCCATTTGTGTGACTCTGACTGTGATTCTGCAAACTAAGCCAAGGTCTCAAACTTCTAAAAAGGACTTTGAAAACAACTTTCCAAGGCCACTTCAGGGGAAGTGGTGGAAAAAGAAGGCACAGACTCAAGAGGGACAGGGCAGTAGGCACTGTCTGGCAGCCCTGCCACTCCTCACAACCCTCCGCCTCTTCCCCACCCCTCCCCAGCCACCCCAGTGGCCAGAGGCTACACAGAACTGTCAATCCCAGTACAAACAGCTGTTGGCTTCTTCCCCTCACAAAAAGGCAAAGTAGCTCTAAATTAAAACAGGAGTTGGGGGGCTGCTGAGACACAGAAACCCAATCACTTTTCACATTTACAAATTACCTCCCTCTCACAATTAGCAAGCACTACTAAGGACTTTGATTCTAAGAAGCAAAATATTGCTGAAAGAAATTAATAATGTCGAGAAAATTAAGAGTACAGTTCAGTATGCAACTGAATTGACAGCATTCCCAGTAACTGATCTTTAATAACTGCAGAGTGAAATCTTCAAACAATAACTACAGGTTGTTTAAGGAATCAACAGCTAGGACTCCGGAGACTGAGCTCCTTTTATCTTCCTCCATAAAGATAAAGAGGAAAGACAGTACTCAGCCTCAAAGGGAAGGCTGGGAGGCAACTTACTGGTGAACTTTTAGTATCCAGCCCTGGACCACTGAAGTCTGAGACACCTTCCTCCACACCCACTGTAGAGAGAAAAACTAGTTCGGTCCAGCTTTTCCCCCCCCTGCCCTCAGCAGATTTTTGATCAAATATAGGGAAGCATGTCCTGAGAGGAAGGGTGTCAAGCCCTGGAATGGGTTCCGGGCAGCCTCCTGGAATGCCCCAATCTGCACAGCAAAACCCCAAGGGTATCAGCCTCCCCACTCCCTGGGGGCACGAGGCACAGCACAGCAATTTGGAAATACCCCTTTCTGGGGTTCCCAGAAACTAAATACCCTGACAAGTCCGAATCTACTTTAGTCTTTTCCCAATTTCATGCTCCTCGGGCCAACATAATAAGGAGTATCAGAGAGGYTGGAGGTTTAGATTGCCAGGTGACTGGTCATTTATCCTAACTTCATTGATTCTGGAGAAAAATGCAAAAATTAGATCTTTTGCTGTAGAACTCATTAAGATCTAAGACAACAGATCAAATCCTCATATGAAATACAGAAACCTTTTTTAAAAGTYATACAGGAAATGCTTTATTAAGAAATAAAAAAAAATTAAGCTGGCAATATCTTCATGGACAAGACCTTTTGAATGGCTTGAAAGGTCACCAGAAGGAAATCTGTTCACAGCTCTGAATTTGACACAGTCTGACCTCAGAAATGTAAGAATGCCAAGTTACTTTATAGAGCTCAGATCTATATAATTTTCTGAAAAATTATGATGCAGTCCATCTTTCAAATACAATCAGCACTACTAGCCTTCTACAAAACCGGGATTTTTGTCTACTTTGTTGTATAAAGTTCAACATTACAAGATTTTAAAGGTCATGATAAATTAATGATTTTTACTGTTTCATCAAGAATGATAACTAAAAGAGCAGGGAGCTGTGGCGCACTCCTATAACCCCAGCAGCTGGGGAGGCTGAGGCAGGAGGATAGTGAATTCAAAGCAAGCGTCGGCAATGGTGAGGTACTAAGCAACTCAGCGAGAGTCAGTCTACATAAAATGCAAAATAGGGCTGGGGATGTGGCTCACTGCCCCTGAGTTCAATCCCTGGTACCAAAAAAAAAAAAAAAAAATCAATCAAATGCCCCCTAATTCTCTTAACACCAATCTCAGGTTGACAACAAAAGACAAAGAGCAAAAAAGAGAGGCAGGGAGAAAAACCAGCACCCACCTGCTGCTGTGGGTACTGCAGGGCTCCCAGGGCCCCTGGGGCCCGGCCCTGCATGCCAAGGGGGTACCGCTGTGCGCCGGGGGGACCGTAGGAGCCTCCTGGGTACGGGCTGCTCTGCTGCGCCTGGGAATGAGGGTTGCTGCTCATCCCATACAACTGGGGCCTCTTCATCACCATTGGATCCATTGGACTCCCCTGTGAAGAATAAGCAGAGAATAAAGGTTATTCATTTACTGTTTATCACAAACGCAGAAGGTTTTGTTGTGTATTTAACACATGTGTTTAAAACACTACTGTCCTAATTTTTTAAATTTTGAAAATATGTTTAAAAATGACCTGACAGAAGTGCAGAAGAACATTAAGAAAACATCCCGATGGCTGATAATCGCACCCCCTCCCAACTTTCAGGAAAGTTTTAACAATTAAGAGTGATCAGGAGTAAATAATACAATTTAAGATTTTTCYATCCTAAGCATCTAAAATTCTATTGTGCACATAGAAAATGAACATACAGCTAACCCCACTCGGCTCCTTTTAACTTACTAGTAGTAAGGGCAAAGGATAAGAGTGATTTAGCAACACTTTAGGACTTCAAAGTKTCCTTACAACAAGGGTATTTTTTAGACCTGAGCCTGCTAGTCCTGATGAAGCATTAGTGCATCAAGAGTGTTCATTAAAAAGTGAAAGGTCAGATTTTAGATAATACAAAATGTCTAGGATAAAATTTTTCAAAGATCACCAGTAGTTGCAGACTATGAGTCATAAGCCACCTTCCCTGTTCAAGCAAGCATCTTACCAAACATAATCAGCTCAAAACTAGATTCCAGATTTTATTTTTGGTCTGGTGAGTCAGTCCTAGCCTCAGGGCCAAGGCCATCAGGGAGGGTCAGGAGTCAGCCTCAGCAGAGCCTTCTCGCCCAGGGCACAGGCAGGGCTGAGCAGTGCAGGGAATCCCTGGCCCAGGGCTACGAAGGCCAGCCGCCAGCAGCACAGACTCTTCCATCCAAGATCTGACACAGATCCCTACACAACTCTAAGGACATGGGGACTCAGGAAGGCTTGACCATTTCCCGGCTGAATGGGAATAACAGGTTCAAGGTGGGGAGGCGCTGCACCAGCCCGGCTCAGGGACACAACTGCCTGGAGAAAATGCAAGCAGGGGTCCAAGCAAAGCAGGAGAATCAGAGAAGTGGAAGGACACAGAAGCCAGAAAAAGGGTGAGCTTTACAAGCCACTCAGATCACCTCTTATGAATGAACCACAGAGKGCTTTCCCAGAGCACCAGCATTTCCTGCGGGAAGTGGCTGACAGCAGCTCAAGGGCCTCCCTGGGCTGGGAGGCTGTGGGCCTGACCTGGCAGCTATGAAGAGGACAGGGCTTGGACTGGGGAGTGGCAAGGTATCATCTGGTGGGAAGTAGGGAGTGGAAGCCAACTCTGCTTACACATGAAAACTGAGGCTCCAGGGGGAAATCCTGATGAAAACACACACGTTTGCAGCTTGGGGACCCAAAAAATAAGTTGGGGCTCAGCAGTAGCACACTGGCCTGGCATGTGTGAGGCTCTGGGTTCGATTCTCAGCATTACATAGAAATAAATAAATAAAATAAAGATCTATCAATAACTAAGAATATTACAAAGAAAATATGTAGGGGAAACCAGCAGGGGGTTTCTCTTTTATTTACTATTATTTCTCCAGGGCAAAGTCAAAAGGTGCACTTGGCACATAGTAAATGCTTAATAAATACTGGATGAATTAACATCATGAAGCAAGCAAAACCCATTAACTTTATCCAGGAAGACCACGAGAAAAGAAAACAATGGGTAGAGAAATTCATCTTAGAGAACATCACTAATTAAGTAAAAGGGAGGAAAATGAGCCCATAGAGGGAAAAAGAATGGTGAGGAAATGTAGTCAGATTCCAGACAGTGGAGTCACGGGAGAAAAGGCAGTCACCCGTGGCAACAAAACATGCTCGTCAATGCACAGCTGGGGTCCACTGAGGTGAAGTTATAAAAGCTTTCCCTACTTGACCACAGATACTTGGGGAGCTCAGCAAGGGCATTCTCAATGCAGAGAACAGAAACTGGAGGTATAAAGAGCCCCCCCCCCAAGCCAGGAAGCTATGAACTGCCAGTTCTGCCCCATTCACTCCTTGCCCCAAGAGGGTGTGTGGCCATTTTCCACTCCTGCATCTTGGTCACCGCTGTTCATTTTAAGGACATGACTGTGTACCGACTTCAATGACTTTATCAGTGACCATGCTCACTGTGCYGGACACTGGAAGCAGAAACACAAATGGCTTGGGTGGCTGCCTGGGCAACTACCCTGGCTTTTGCTGAAGGAGAGGGGCTTAGACCCTGAGGGAGGGAGAGACCTCCCTGGAGGCAGGCTGCCAAAGGTGCAGCTCACAGGCTCTGCAGGACACAGCTGAGCTTGACCTTGAGGGAGGCAGAGGAAGGGTCAGAAGTGACCCACCCAAGTGGACCACGTGAAAGGACACAGGGGCAACAGGTGAGCTGTCCTAGGCCCCACCTCCTCCAAAGAAAAGTTCTGCTCCAAATTCACAATGTCAGCAGCCGAGGAAAAGTCTGTAAGGACGGAGGGCAGTGCGTGGTTCTGCTCCAGCGACACTGACTGTTGGCCTCAGATCAGACCCACACGTGACCTCCCCACGTAACTCCAGAATCCAGGACCCAAGTTCTCGAAAGTTCTCGAAAGATTTTTCAGATTAGAATAGATGCCTGAGAAAAGCAAATCTAATATCCTCCAGATTTTCTTTCAAAAGACGAGACAAAGCCTTCTATGGAGGTGTGAAGCCCAAGACTGAGCTGGTGATTTCAAAACCAGCCTGGGGTATGCATGGCCTACCAGGAGGCTGAGAGAATTAACATTCCAGGCCCAGTGTCCACCACAGGGCCCTGCAGCAGCCCTATCTCCACGTTCAATCTGCAGAGCCCAAAGCAGAGGAAAGGTCTACTCTTTCACTTTAAGTAGTGCCAGACCAGACTGACTTAATTAAAGCAGAAATTTAGGTAGAAAAATGACTGGAATGTCTATATTTTAAGGCTATAGGCAACAGGGCAGCAAATTCATCTTATCAGTGACTAAAACTGTATTGTAATCTCTGTCTCATCTTTGCCAGCAGTTTTCCCAGTCCTGCTTAAAATTCAGTTAATTTGCGCTGTCAAACTGTTAGCTTAACCTGAGATTCCTGAAAATCAAAAGCATGAAATACAGATTATCAATACCTCTCAAAAGGCTTGAAAACAGATACTCCTCTACTGCAAATTCTTTCATTTTAACCTTCTCTTATGTTCTATTATTAAATATTTACCCATAATCCACATTCATCCCACTGCATATTCTCACTATTTTTAACATTAAATATGTAGAACTGCAATATCTCGACCCCTCCCCGACTTTTCACTACTAGCTCTTTAAAACACCAAAAAACAAATCAAATCTAAGCCTTTTCAAGAAATTCAAATGCAAGTTGTTCTTCATCTTCACATTTAAACTGAAACAATTATATATTTTTTATCATCTCTCCTCCTATCAATATATTTTCAGAGGATGACCATTGCATTTCTCACAGAAAATCTATGCTCTATCAGATATATCACCCACATTAAGAATGGTCCTAGCCAGGCACAAGTGCACACCTATAATCCCAGCTACTCAAAGGCTGAGACAAGAGGATCCCAAGTTCAAACCAGCGTGAGCAACTTAGTGAGACTCTGTATCAAAATAAAAAGGCCTAAGTGTGTTAGCTCAGTGGTGGAGCACCCCTAAGCTCAGACCTCAAATATCTACCTAAACAGGTTATTCCCAACGTGCATTCCCCAACTGCTGCAGTCTGCATTTCAATTTCATGAAGACAAGAGTTTTGAAGGCCACAGGATACAACACGATTTTCAAAGAGCTCTTGGCCCGAATAGTCTGGTTTTAGTTACTCAGCTTCTACTGCAATCTGATTTTTCCCCCCTCTTAAATATTTTTTTAGTTGTCAATGGACATTTATTTTATTTATTTATATGGGGTGCTGAGAATCGAACCCAGTGCCTCACACATGCCAGGCAAGCACACTGCCACTGAGCCACCACCTCAGCTCCCTAATTTCATTTCCTGATGAGGCCTTCTGATAATTCCTCTATATTCAAATGAGCTTTTGGACACACATACACATCCTGGCCTGTGTCTCCTTTTGGTGCTAAGTTGTTCCAAGAGCCTCAAGTTTCCAACCAAGGAAGAAGTGCAATGTGTACAGATTCTAAGCAGACAAGGTAGATTGTTAAATGGGCTCTCAGGGGCAAATCTGGGAATCCAGTTACCTTTTTAAGATTATCCAAGTTAAGCCGGACAAAGTGGCACAAAACCTGTAATCCCAGCAGCTAGGGAGGCTAAGGCAGGAGGATTCCTAGTTCAAAGCCAGCCTCAGCAACTTAGCAAGGCCCTAAGCAACTCAGCAAGACCCTGTGTCTAAATAAAATATTTTTAAATGGCTGGGGATATGACTCAGTGGTTAAGTACCTCTGGGTTCAATTCCCCTACCAAAAAAAAAAAAAAAATGGAAAGATTATCCAAATTAAAGGACAATTTACTTACACACTTCTAATATACTTCAGATACACTTTACACTTTTTATAGTCTTTCAATATCATTCTTTTAGAGTCAAGTTATCTATATAACCATATTTGTTCCTAAACAGTGAATTAAGAAGAGTTTATTAAAAATTCCCTTAAGATTTTCTCAGCCCTATTCCTTAAACTACAAATTGAAGAGAGGCTTTACAAAACTCCACAGAAAGAAGAACTACCACATCTTGTTCTGCAGTTTTATCTGCACATCTGGATTAAACAAGAACTCACAGAAAGAAACCCCTCTTCCTTTGAATCACTGGGGAAACGCTCCTTTACTGGGAACTAAAGGAAACTTTGGAAGCAATACTCCATTATCTAGAAAACAGGCAAAAACAGTCTCACCTGGTGAGAGTAAATGAATACTGGAACCAACAGGTATAAAACAGAGTCAAACTCCTTCCAACGACAACTACTGATGAGCCTCGACACCTTGTTCCCCCTGTGGCACCCCTGCTCCAGCGGGCAGGAGCTCCTCACTCAGGCACAAGTCACCAACGTGCTCTGAAGCTGGCGGACTCACAGCCTTGTATCACCACTTACTACCACTCTGTGA